ATCCCTGTCCCTGGTGCTGAATGGCATTCACATTAACACTTCCATCCCTGTCCCTGGTGCTGAATGACATTCACACTAACACTACCATGCCTGTACCTGATGCTGAATGACATTCACACTAACACTACCATCCCTGTCCCTGGTGCTTAATGACATTCACATTAACACTGTCATCCCTGTCCCTCGTTCTGAATGACATTTACACTAACACTTCTATGTCTGTCCCTGGTGCTGAATGACATTCCCACTAACACTGTCATCCCTGTCCCTCGTTCTAAAATGACATTTACACTAACGACTACCATGCCTGTACCTGGTACTGAATGACATTCACACTAGCACTTCCATCCCTGTTCCCGATGCTGAATGACATTCACACTAACACTACCATCCCTGTCCCTGGTGCTGAATGACATTCACACTAACACTTCTATCCCTGCCCCTGGTGCTGTATGACATTCACACTAACATTGTCATCCCTGTCCCTGGTGCTGAATGGCGTTCATACCAAGACTGCCATTCCTGTCCCTGGTGCTGAATGAAATTCACACTAACACTGTTTTCCCTGCCCCTGGTGCTGAATGAAATTCACACTAACACTGATATCCCTGTACCCTGTGCAGAATGGCATTCACACTAACACTACCATCCTATCCCTGGTGCTGAATGACATTCACGCTAACACTGTTATCCCTGTCCCTGGTGCTAAATGACATTCACACTAACACTACCATGCCTGTCCCTGGTGCTGGATGACATTCACACTTACACTGTCATCCATGTCCCTGGTGCTGAATGACATCCACACTAACACTGTCATCCCTGTCCCTCGTTCTGAATGACATTTACTATAACACTACTATGCCTGTACTTGGTACTGAATGACATTCACACTAACCCTTCCATCCCTGTCCCTTGTGCTGAATGACATTTACACTAACACTACCATGCCTGTCCCTGGTGCTGAATGACATTCACACTAACACTACCATGCCTGTCCCTAGTGCCGAGTGACATTCACGCTAACACTGTTATCCTTGTCCCTGGTGCTAAATGGCATTCACACTAACACTACCATGCCTGTCCCTGGTGCTGAATGACATTCACGCTAACACTGTTATCCCTGTCCCTGGTGCTGAATGGCGTTCATACCAACACTGCCATTCCTGTCCCTGGTGCTGAATGACATTCACGCTAACACTGCCATCCCTGTCCCTGGTGCTGACTGACATTCACACTAACACTACCATGCCTGACCCTGGTGCTGAATGACATTCACGCTAACACTGCCATCCCTGTCCCTGGTGCTGAATGACATTCACACTAACACTACCATGCCTGTCCCTGGTGCTGAATGACATTCACGCTAACACTGTTATCCCTGTCCCTGGTGCTGAATGGCGTTCATACCAACACTGCCATTCCTGTCCCTGGTGCTGAATGGCATTCACACTAACACTACCATGCCTGTCCCTGGTTCTGAATGACATTCACACTAACACTTCTATCCCTGTCCCTGGTGCTGAATGACAAATAAACTAACACTACCATGCCTATACCTGGTGCTGAATGACATTCACACTAACACTTCCATCCCTTTCCCTGGTGCTGAATGACATTCAAACTAACACTACCATCCCTGTCCCCTGGTGCTAAATAGCATTCACACTAACACTTCCATCTCTGTCCCTGGTGCTGAATGGCATTCACACTAACACTACCATCCCTGTCCCTGGTTCTGAATGACATTTACACTAACACTACCATGCCTGTACCTGGTACTGAATGACATTCACACTAGCACTTCCATCCCTGTTCCCGATGCTGAATGACATTCACACTAACACTACCATCCCAGTCCCTGGTGCTGAATGACATTCACACTAACACTTCTATCCCTGCCCCTGGTGCTGTATGACATTCACACTACATTGTCATCCCTGTCCCTGGTGCTGAATGGCATTCACACTAACACTACCATGCCTGTCCCTCGTTCTGAATGACATTTACACTAACACTACCATGCCTGTACCTGGTGCTGAATGACATTCACACTAACACTTCCATCCCTGTCCCTGGTGCTGACTGACATTTACACTAACACTACCATCCCTGTCCCTGGTTCTGAATGATATTCACACTAACACTGTCATCCCTGTCCCTCGTTCTGAATGACATTAACACTAACACTACCATCCCTGTCCCTGGTGCTGAATGACATTCACACTAACACTTCCATCCCTGTCCCTGGTTCTGAATGACATTCACGACTAACCACTGTCATCCCTGTCCCTCGTTCTGAATGACATTCACACTAACCCTTCCATCCCTGTCCCTGGTGCTGAATGGCATTCACACTAACACTACCATGCCTGTCCCTGGTTCTGAATGACATTCACACTAACACTTCTATCCCTGTCCCTTGTGCTGAATGACATTCACACTAACACTACCATGCCTGTCCCTGGTGCTGAATGACATTCACACTAACACTACCATGCCTGTCCCTAGTGCTGAATGACATTCACGCTAACACTGTTATCCCTGTCCCTGGTGCTAAATGGCATTCACACTAACACTACCATGCCTGTCCCTGGTGCTGAATGACATTCACACTAACACTGTTATCCCTGTCCCTGGTGCTGAATGGCATTTACACTAACACTACCATGCCTGTCCCTGGTGCTGAATGACATTCACGCTAACACTGTTATCCCTGTCCCTGGTGCTGAATGGCGTTCATACCAACACTGCCATTCCTGTCCCTGGTGCTGAATGACATCCACACTAACACTATCATGCCTGTCCCTGGTGCTGAATGACATTCACACTAACACTGTCATCCATGTCCCTGGTGCTGAATGACATTCACACTAACACTGTCATCCCTGTCCCTCGTTCTGAATAACATTTACACTAATACTACCATGCCTGTCCCTGTTGCTGAATGACATTCATACCAACACTGCCATCCCTGTCCCTGGTTCTGAATGACATTCACACTAACACTGCCATTCCTGTCCCTGGTGCTGAATGACATTCACACTAACACTACCATGCCTGTCCCTGGTGCTGAATGACATTCATCAAATTTAGTCTGAAACACGCACACACCTGATTCACAATTAAGGCCACACTGGCACAGGTACCCGTTGAGTCGATCTAAGCACACGCCGCCGATCGTGCAGGGGCTGCTCGCACACTCGTCAATGTCTTCCAGTGTCAATTCAACAGTTTCATTGCAGAGGTTTCCTTCCCAGCCTCCACTGCAGGTGCAGTCGTATCGCAGGTAGTCGGACGAGTTGGTACAGGTCACGTGACAGGGAGGCGTGCTGCACATATCTGCGAATGAAACGCAAATAACTACGGTAGCAATACACCTCTTGTAGATAAATAAATACAGAATAAATCTAGCACCTGGATAAATTCTCTTTGTTTCCGACACTTCAAAAAAAGCAACCACTTCTGTTCATCAGAGTGAGAATTCTGTAGGGAATTGTTCATTTAATCTTGTATAACATGTATGTAAGGTCCTGCCATTAAGGTTCTATTGCCTGGAGGCTATTTGTAAGATTTTATCGGTCCTCCCACTGAATCCAGGGGGTTCAGAGGCATGCTCTCCTGGGAACTGCTCTAATTCTAAACACTACAGGGGCAAATTTTAAATGACTTCATTTTGATTTTAATTTGACAGGCAAATTTCAAATGACTGCGTTTTGATTTCTGATTTTCTTCGATGGTGTGTGTTTGTGTGTGTGTGTGATTATGTGCATCACAGGGTCTGATTGTGTATTTGAGTGTTTCAGTGTATGTAAGTGTCTTTGTGTGTAGTATGTGTGTGCGTGCATGGATGTGTTTGTGCGTATTTTGGTGTTTTTATGTCTTTGTGTATGTCTGTACAAATATATTACATGTACCTGTGGCATTTGCAGTACACACATCACAGCTCAGTCTACAGTTCACCAGCATGTACCCACTGTTCCGGACACATTCTCCACTCAAGGCCCGGGCAGGACAGTCTGCATTGTCATCCACACAGTCTGGACAACAGAAAACAAAATTTAATTCTCCACAAATAACAGTTCATGTTGTTTTGATATTGTCTATTCACACTTTCAGTACACTGTTCTAAAATACGTCCCATGGTTTACATGATGCAAAGAGAATACTTAATGGATGTTTTACTGTAACATTGGGGTATCAGAAGTGGCAATCATCATAATCTAAAGGATGTGTGCACCATGTTGTGCAAGTCATGAAGTGTATACATATGCGTGCTACAGCCTAATGTTACATGAGTCACAATATTCATACTTCTTTTTTGAGGGCCAAATGACCTGAAATTTAGTGAGGAGGTAGAAACTTAAGGTAACTTCCCCAACGTTTATCTTATTAGTTTCATTGTACAATTGTCATTGTCTTTGAAATTATCCCCTTAAGGCTTTTGAATTCTCAAATTTCATGAATAAACAAATAATAACATGAAAAGCCTACCAGGACAGGTGACTTGAGTGTCACATAGGACTGTTTCTGTAGGTGACCCGTCACACACGTCACCGTTGTACCGAGGGTACGGGTTGTTACAGGTTCGGGTCCTGTTCTGGAGCCCAAGTCCACAACTGACACTGCAGCTGCTATACGATGACCAAGATGACCAAGAACCATCCACTACGCACAAACAAAAAACTCTTTTCAATCATCAAACATTATGAATTCATTGGCTGTTCAATTAACTTAAGTTACCTGACATATCTAAATTTCAGGGCTCATTGAAAATCAGTGCTTTGGCACATTTTTGTTACTTTCCAGTTGAAAAGATGGCATTCATTGAATCAAATAGAGTACCGATTGATTAATGAATAAAGTTCAGCTTATCTTTTATAACCCTCAGCTGTAAGAATTCTGTCTGGAATCCATGGATGTTTTCAAGCATTAAAAGTTTGTGCAAAGTACAGCGGAAGCATAGAATACCTGATCCATGAAATTTCCGCAAAATTCTGAAAACTGAGCAAATTATTTGGTGTGCCAGTGGCAAATCAAACACAAAGTTTAACATATTTTCAATATTTTATTGTACTACTGAACAAAATGGTTACTCTCCAAGCAGAAGTTTGGGTTTTGGCTTATTTTGGGCGTTTTGTGGGGCTCTTTTTATCACGATTTTTTTTTTGCACTGGCTTTTTTTTGCCAACCCAACATAATAAAATCCCAGTGCAAAAAAAACTCAATAAAAAGCCCCAAAACACACAAAAAAATGAGCAAAAACCCAAACCTAGTTTGCATAATTTATTTAATATAACTGTAAGCATTGTTCAAAGCTATGTTGAGAGGATGAAACTTTAATTTTGGTGCCAAGTTCCACTCTGAAATATAGATGGGGAAACCGTGTTCAACAATACTGACCTGGAGCCAGACAGTATGGAACTCCTGTTTCTCCGGCATCCTTACACGTGCAGATGGTACAACTGGAGCCATTTGACCTCTCCCCTATCTGGCAGGTACACTCGCCATCGGACGTATTTGTTGGACACGACGGCTCGGTGCCAAAGACAGCAGCAACAAGCCAGGCTACTGTAGACAGACAGAAAATACCTCATCATTGACTGGTACCTTGGACTTTTGTGTTGGATCATCCTGGGACATAAGTATACTGACTACACCTCGGGGCTGCGGATGTGCAAACTCCAAACACTTGAGAAGAGACGAGCGACCCTCTGCACTAAGTTTGCCCACAGCATGACTGCATCGGAACGCACAGCAGATCTCCAACACACGACAGGAGCACAGCCAAAACCTTAGAAACTCGGACAAAATGACTCTTGCCACACCACTCGTTATCAAAACAGCCCAGTACTATCTCTGTAATAATACTGCTGAATCAGAACAAATGACAAGTTGTAAATTGACTGCCAAGTCAACCACGCTCCGCTGTTTAGTCATTTAACTATTTTATATCTGAAGTTATCTGTGGAAGTGAGTTGTATGTATACGTATTTTTAGCGAGACGGCTGCGCGTGCAATGTTTTACCAAGGACATTATACTTCTGTATAATGTCCTTGGTTTTTAAAAGAAAAGCGGCCCTCTGCACGAAATAAACCACCCATCCATTCATTCATTCATTCATTTCAGATCATTGAACTCATTTGAGGATAGTACGTACCCAGTTTTTTGTGATAACAGTGTTAATACATCAGAATCTGGCTAGCAGCACTTAGACCAAGCATACGAAGATACAGTATGAATTAAATACATACATGTAAATATATTAACTCACCTTGCTATTATGTAGTTCTAAAGTTTCAAATAGATATGCAATTTGATGTTAATGTTGACCTGTACATAGTAGTTTACATTAACCGTAACTTCGCAGTTTGCTGATCTTATTATGGATAAGTACGCAGTGTTTGTTGCCACTGGCTTTGCTAATTAAAAAAGGTATAAATAAACATTGTAATTGAGTACAGCTGTTATTTGCAAGATAAATAAAGTTCTATGTTAGAACTTCGATGTTCTTAACATGACAAATAAAAAAAATCTTGCCTTTCAGCTAGGAAGTGGGACTGATACTAGTAATATACTCCCTGCTGAATTTTGCCGTAACTGATACAAATTTGATAATATATATATATAATATAATATAATATAATGCATGCAATGCCCCCACAGCATTCAAAGGGTCAAGGTAATGTTATTAAAAATCTTGTATTCCATGAAAAGGAGTATTATTATGATAATATAACATCACAATGGGAGTATAATGACGTAAAATTATACTTAATTGCTCCCCACACCCATCTCTTTCAAAACAAGAAAATTTAATCATAGTAAGTGTCCATGATTGCTGATATGATCACATCTCAATAATATATGGTAAATTTATGATGCTCCGGTCTTGTCACTGTATCAAAAATGACATTTCCAGAAGTTTCCAGGCCCGCACACACCCGTGAAATTCGCCGTGCCCTGGTCGCTTCCATGGATTTCCGGGCTCCGCGTGTACGGCCCCAGATATTTCCTTACACTCCCGGATTCGTGCTCGCCGTGCGTGTGGACGGAAATTTACGGCCCGCACACTTGGCGTGTGTTGCGGAGCGGCTAACAATAAGGGGCAATTAGGTACTGCGCGTATTCATGTTTCAGGTGAAAATTATTTGAACTAAAGTTGCCAGTACTTGAATCTAAGCAAATTAGAATGATCAAGGATTGTTAATACAACATTTAAACCTATGCGTCCTTGGCTTGATTTATCGTGATGTCGTCCATATGACAAAGCACATTTGAGCATAGCTAGGGCGCCCCGACGCTGGGGTTATATAACCTACTCGGTCAAAATGACCTAAATCTACACTCCGGTCTAAATCTGAATTTTTTATTTTGGAAATAATAGTTTATCCGTAAGGTTCATTACCATGATGTAATCAAACGCTTGACTAAAGGGGTTTGAACTAACGTGACCTGATCAGTTTGTTATGATTTTTTAGGTACATGTATGGGTAATAATATGCAAGCTTTACATTGTAGTTCGGTCGATGTGTATTGCGATGTGTCTGACATGGCGTCCATTTATGTGAATAGCCTTTGTGTAAACAAATGGATAACTTACAGCGTCCCCACGCGTGGTAAAATACTGAAATCCAGCAAAACAATTTTCTACAAGTCAACTCTCATGACGTTAATTGTCGATTTTGGATACATTTACAAAGAGTAAGGTTATGTTGGAGTTAAAGTGCGGTTTTATTTCACTCAGTGAGCGACAAGTTGTGTAATTCTAGAACGAATAAAGCCACGCAACCATGACGAATTAGAATTATGAAGATCATTTGTCTGCCTTGAAATAAATACATTCACACAATCAGAAACATCCTATCATCCAATTGTTCAGACTGCACAGGCGATTTAACTTAAAACCTATAATATAAAAACAAGATCGTTGTAGTATTGAACGCGATCACGTGATTATATGATTGACGACCTATCCTACCTCGCTCTCGCCGGGACCAGCCAATAAGAGCCGCGATACTTTGTTTTGGTGGGTCGTTTGAATCTTGCTTTGTCACAACGACGGTTTGCTTCTTCAAAACACATTTGTCTCGGCCAGCAAAGATTACTAGTATCTTCCTGAACTAAAATGGCGTCAAACATTCCGTTCTGTTACTTCGCGTTTTCGCAACGGTAGAAATGCCTCTACTACATGTGCCGACAATTGCCGAATGAAAGGACAACACAGCAACGAACCAGGAAACCGACGGGAGGAAGGGTAAGCTAAAACAAGGATAATATTATATATACGGCACTATCGTTACATATATCTTAAACATGTTGTTTAAAAACCTTGGCTAAGTTGTGCCTACGGCAGAAATATTTATTTTGTACACTATTTTTTTACTACTTAATAACATAGTTTATTATTACTACTTAGAAGTACATCGATATAGTTTAATAGACCCATTCGACTTTCACGGACCGCATAAACTGCTTACGTAACAGGGGGGACATTTCGAAAGAACATCGTTCTAGAACGATGAAGTTGAACGCGGCTTGCGCTCGCGGTGTCCCCCCCCCCCTGGCAAATTATTTTTTTACTAAAGTGTAGGTAGTGTCTTTTTTTCTCTGTAATATATGCGGAAATGACAGGAAAACAGGCACCAACTTTGTATGGTGGAATCCGTACAACAATTTAAGGTTATTTTGTTCTGTGACGTATGCAGTTTATGCAATCTGTGAAAGGAACTTTCGAATGTCCCCCCTGTGACGTAGTTTCTATTCGAAATGTACCCCCTGTGACGTATGCAGTTTATGCGATCCGTGAAAGTCGAATGGGTCTATTGTATGTTGCTCAGAACATATATTTTTTCAGGCGCGGATTTGGGATACTTTGAGACGATTTGAAGACAGTTTGTCGCTAGGCTGTAGGAGATCTCAGAAAAGAAAGAAAGAAAAGCGACTGCAGTCACACAGAAAGAGGGTGAGTCTATGCAAATGTATATCTTTGCATACGAAAGCCGACAAAGCTCTTGAGCTCTTGACAATGTGAATTGTTTTCATTACCGAGGGAAATATTGTGTTTGTATTGTTCCCATGATTACAATGAAAAGAAACAAGTAGACGTTGATGTTTGATGAATGGAGCCTTTTCATCTGGACAAAATTGTTGCTGTCTGACGTTAAAAACATTCGCTAAAAACTGATAAATGACTTCTCGAAATGTGTCCATACAGGCGTCCGCATCTTTGCCAGGCTTGTTTATAAAATTTGTAGTACATGTACACGTAACTTCAAATAGAATTCAAAAATGCCTTCGACTTTTGACTTAGATTTTCGTTTTTCTATGTTCTGCAGGCCAGGCAAACAGGCAGGCCGGACACCCAGGCTCAGATCTAAAGGCGAGGGTGCTGTGTTAAAGCGCCCGGCAAGCTCCGAAGACCCAGGCCGGCCCCGCTGCACTCCCGCCCGGGGTGCACCCCGCGCCCAGCACGCCGCTCTGGTCTGACTGCGATCACAACCGACACCATCACCACGCCATCCCGCAGACAGACAGGGGGCAGTTTGTCCTTCCAGGATGAAAACGTTTCGCTATGGTCCCCTGAAGCAAGGGGGGTCATACCTCCTTGCCTGAAATCTACAACTTTACGAAACCGACAGCTTGTCTTTAACGACATTGTAAATTGAATACGTGTTCATGTAACTTAATTTCTGAGCAAATGACAGGGCTATTTTCTTTTTTTTGTAATGACGTGATATTTTTTTCTGTCAAGCCTCATTTAACTTGATGTTATTATGTTTTTGCCACACGTATTTTGAAGAACTTTGTTTGAGGCCTTCTTTGTTTATTGAAAATTTAGTGTTTTGACTGTTAATGTAAGCGCCATTCACTTTCGTGATCTGAGGGCTATTTTTCTCTTTTAACCTGATGATATGTTAGTATTAGTCACTTTTTGACATTTTTTACTAAAATGGACTTCTATTTGGAGGTGACTGTGATGAGATGTGATGTTAGTTTACTTTTTAAAGTTAGAGAAATTTGTTAATTAATTTCTTGAGTTTACACCGGGTCCAACGATTTTAGATGTATAGTCCCTGGAAGGCTAGTTCACGAAAAAGCTATTTGCCTTGAAAGTTTCTATGTTTCGGCTACACATTTTTGTAAAGTACCAGGTTACATTATTGCACATGTATAGTGTTAGCATAGTGCATAACGTGTATACACTATACATAGAGCGTTATTTTTGTCAATCTGTAAATGGCGATCCTGTTAATACCAATACAACGATGAAGTATAAACATGTATTACCTTTTTTTACTAGTGAATGAAATGTGTTCCTAAACATCGAAATGTGTCCCCAGACCGGGGGAAGCGATTTCTCGGGAGCCGGGCAGCGAAGCCCCGGGAGCGGGAAGGGGGGTCCCCGTAGTGGGGGCAGTGGTGTCCCGAGAACGATAACAGCAGGGCCCCGGGAACGGGAGCAACCGGTCCCGAGAGCGGGGCGCGGGTTTTTAAACGAACTTGACCTTGAATTTTTTTTCGTTTATACGATAAAACTAGTCAAGATGTGAAACTTGGCCAAATTTTATTCCACAAATCCGAACGGTTGCTGAGATTTCGGCAACTTTGCACTTCGGCACCTATCGTAGGGCTAGGTCCCGTACAAGGCCCTAATGACGGGCCATTTAATGGTCTTCTTTTAAGGTCAAATTTACTATTTCAGCCGACTTTTTCTGGCTAGCGGGTACCATTGTTGTATCCTCTCACTTTCTGAGTGATTTGTACTTAGTGTAAGTCGTTTTTACGGCAGAAAAGGGGGGGGGGTGTACGCGTTCTCTGGCCAGTGGGGAATTCCCATAGTAAAGCATAGGGGACGGTCCTAGTGGCCGTTGCCATGGCAACGGAGGTCTGACGGTGAAATAAACTGGTGTATTTTACTTGAACAGACGCCAGTACCAGATATACTAAGGAAATTTCACCGAATTTGACGCGGTTGATTAATTCCCGTGGGGGTTCAAACGAACTTGACCTTGAATTTTTTTCCTTTATACGATAAAACTAGTCAAGATGTGAAACTTGGCCAAATTTTATTCCACAAATCCGAACGGTTGCTGAGATTTCGGCAACTTTGCACTTCGGCACCTGTCGTAGGGCTAGGTCCCGTACAAGGCCCTAATGACGGGCCATTTAATGGTCTTCTTTTCAGGTCAAATTTACTATTTCAGCCGACTTTTTCTGGCTAGCGGGTACCATTGTTGTATCCTCTCACGTTCTGAGTGATTTGTAGTTAGTGTAAGTCGTTTTTACGTCAGAAAAGGGGGGGGTGTACGCGTTCTCTGGCCAGTGGGGAATTCCCATAGTAAAGCATAGGGGACGGTCCTAGTGGCCGTTGCCATGGCAACGGAGGTCTGACGGTGAAATAAACTGGTGTATTTTACTTGAACAGACGTCAGTACCAGATATACTAAGGAAATTTCACCGAATTTGAATCGGTTGATTAATTCCCGTGGGGGTTCAAGGTAGCAGGACACAGTTTTTCGCTTATGGGGATTTCTATAGTTAAGGACCCGGAAGTGACTGACATCGACTCGGATAAAAATACAGTAGGGTACCATAGAAAAGCACGAGAAACGAATATGTTCAAATATAGGGTACGATGTACAAAATAACAAAAAGTACAAAAAGTTATCGTTTTTTTTTACATTATGCCGACCTCTTTTAAATAGCCTCCTGCGGAGCGCAACGGAACTGCAGCCGACTCACCCTGGCAGGCAGCGAAAAGGTCACGCGCATTTATATGCCGATCGAGCAGCCTTCCTAATCTCAATTATGCGATATCAAAGCCGACATATTATGGTATTATATTATTGTCATTATTGTGAATTCCTTAAAAACATCTGGTGCTAGTTTGTGTAACATTACGTAGTGCTACAATTTGCGTAAAAAGTTGGCTTCATTGCGTTATCAAATAAAATGTTATCTACTAAGTCGAGATGGTATTGAAAACTGTTTTTTGTGCCGTTCTTCTACAAACAGCCAGCAGAATTATGAAGGTACCCGTTCCCAATACACATACCGCAAACTACATTAACGGAAGCCCTACGAAATTCTCTTTGTAATGTATAACCGCTTTATATCGACGAACAATGGGTGTGAATTACGTGTTTTCCCAGTCCTGTGCCACCGGCTCGGTGGTAATTGGCTACTTTACAAGTGAAAGAACAGGGTCCGTGGGCCTAATATTCAAATTATTAAGCAGCCCTCTGATTGGTCCTCGCTAGAAATTTACTGGATGTCATTCAGTGACGCGGGGTAGTACGGGCGTGTCCAACCCGTACACAGCGAATTTCCGCTGCCGTGTGGAGAATAATTAGGTGATAATTGCCGCTAAATTATGCATATTCCAGCAACGCACGGAGCGGTAGTACGGGCGTGTCCCTCCCGTACACGGCGAATTTCCGCTGCCGTGTGGAGAATAATTAGGTGATAATTGCCGCTAAATTATGCATATTCCAGCAACGCACGGAGCGGTGCGCGGCCATTTCCTGCCGTGTACAGGCATTTCAAGGGCTCGTGTCCTGGCATTTAACGTCCAGTACACGGCCTGCACACAAACATTGGTTCATTTCCTTGAATGTCCAGGACATGTACGGGGCAGGACACATTACGTGTGCAGGTCGGAAACCCCCGGGTTCTACCGGAAACCTAAAATATCCGGGAAAGTGTGCGACAATTTCTCAGACGGAAACGAGAGATTTTGTGCGGTGTGTGTAACACATACATGCGTGTGTACCACACCCTTCGTGTACTTTTTCCCACTAATGTACACCTAGTTTAGTTGGGCTTTAGTTGTATGCTTCTACACCATAATGGTCCTGTACCTGCAAAATTCTAAGGTCCAAGCTGGTCACCATCAGTATGCCATTTACTGGACTTGAAGATATGTAGAGTCTCATCTGCAGGTATATCCATTTCAAGAGTACGTTGGGTTTATTTTACATGAAACACAGAGGGGGCCTGAGTGGCTCATGGGAGTCGAACCCAAATAACTTGCCAACGGATCTGAAAACGGCCACGTCAGTTGCAGCTCTTACAAAACCAACTGCGTCGAGTCACTTAGAATGACATATAATTTGAGAAGCTTGGATGTTGATATTGATAAGATATATGAATCGAGATAATGTTTGGATTTTGTATGGACTCGTATTGTATTTAATAATATATTGTATTTCTGTGACTGATTTAATATTGTAACTGAGCCGAAGCATTTGTAAAAGACCCCTGACCCACCTCCCCTTGACCTCTTGAAAAGTGGCTCAGGCCGAAGAGTGGTATTATTACATACTGTACAAGGCTAAATAAAGGTTGAAAAAAACTGGGCTACCAGCTCGGACTGAATGCCCTGACTGCTCGACCAACCCATTGAACTGGTCTGACTTATAAGTTGTGAACCTCATCCTAAGCCACTGTGAATATTTAACGTCATCTTGATCCCTCCAACATTTACTGCATTTGACATACACAAAGATGACAGTTTACCACAAGGCTGTCAGGTATTAAAGTATACAAGATATTTGTAGCTGACAAATGTTTACCTGAAACAATTTTTGACTCCATATCTGCCAGGAATCTGAGTTGAGCCTGGTAAAATGCTGGAGGTACTGTATTTAATGATATATAAAGTTAGAGTATGTCACAATTCTGGTACATGTATCTGTCACCTGCTACTGAGAGAAAAGAGGATGTCTTTCTGTTGTAACCAGGGCTGCTGTAACATTGGGGTTCAAGTCCAAACTGACCTTTTAGCCTAGCAGTTAGTGCGTTGGGTTCGTAAGCTGGCGGCTCAGGTTCGATTCCCGGGAGCCAGGAGATTTTGCGTTCTACCTAAGCCTCCTAGTTGTTATACTGGCTCCCATGCCAGCCCTGTGAGTGTTGGCAAAGTATGCCACACACAGGGATATCGAAATCTCAAAACAAAAGGTGAAGTAGATCCAGGAGAGTTCGTGTTTCTACTCGCCCCTGGTTGTTTCACTGTCAGTGAGACAACCATCTTTAAATGTGCCTCCCGAATGGAATTCTTCTGTTCGGGGTACAACTTTCAACCATTGCATCCCCGCCGATGATTAAAAATCTTAGTATTCTTTTAATCCAGCCATCACCAGTGCCACAAAATGGAAATTTGTCCCTTACAACATGATAAACTGTGTTACAGTCTCTGAGGGCTAATAACAAAAATTTCCAGGAGAGAATGCGCTCAGCACCCCTTCTACTACTTTTTTCTTCTTTGTACTCTGCACAGAGCAGCCTATATTGCTAGTCTATCGTGGTTGTGGCGGACTGATCTCTACCGGGCTCTTGTACCAGTACATGTGTAGTTTTCCCCGGTACTTGTACTAGTACATGTGTAGTTTTCTCCGGTACTTGTACTATTACATGTGTAGTTTTCTCCGGTACTTGTACTAGTACATGTGTAGTTTTCTCCGGTACTTGTACTATAACATGTGTAGTTTTCGCCGGTCCTTGTACTAGTACATGTGTAGTTTTCTCCGGTACTTGTACTAGTACATGTGTAGTTTTCTCCGGTACTTGTACTAGTACATGTGTAGTTTTCTCCGGTACTTGTACTAGTACATGTGTAGTTTTCTCCGGTACTTGTACTAGTACATGTGTAGTTTTCTCCGGTACTTGTACTAGTACATGTGTAGTTTTCTCCGGTACTTGTACTAGTACATGTGTAGTTTTCTCCGGCCCAAATCAACTGGAGTTTTGCACCTGTAATTCTGTACGGCGGGAGTTGATTAGCCCAAAAGGCTGGCCCAAACCACGATAAACTGGACAAACTAGTCAAAATAGGAGTACGGAGAAAAGAGAGCCCGGGTCTTACCTGCTAGAAGCAGCAGCCAGACTTGAGCCGCCTGTCTCCGGCACGGCATCGTCACACGGGGCTCGGCTGGTGGTTACACCATGCAGGAGATGCGACAAGCACCACGGCTGGGAACGAAATGACAGTTACATACCTACCTACCTATCATTAGGAACCAATAAAGAGAATTACCTGGTGAATAAATAATTCAAGAAATGACTCAGCCCATTGTATAAAGTCCTTTGTCAGTCCGGAAACAGGTGCCTTCTTAAAGCAATTACACATTCCATCTAGAGAGGTGCTACACACAATACGAGCGATCGCTGTTTTTGTTTACATGATGTATATGCACATTATTTGAAGGCATATGCAAACTATCGGTAGGCAAATCAACCAAACGTCATCCGCTTTTTGCCTGCCATGACGTCATGGCAATCGCACGTATGGAAAAAATTCTAGGAAATGCTTAGAATTTGAAATGAATCCAAAACTTTACATCAATATCTCCAGGGAGGGTGACAATACATGTGAGGTTATGTTACCGTATTTAACCATCAGCATGCTACTAGCAGGTCTGCACTCCCAACGACGATACTGTTGGTATCCATGGATTACATGGTCTACTGACAGTAAACAATAATAGTAAGGGGCTGACCAAGTCATTAGTTAGTGCATAATCCTTTTTACCTTCGCCAAGAAGGTTACGTTTTTAGTAGCGTTTGTCTCTGTGTGTGTGTTTGTATGTGTGTTTGTGGTTTAGCAAGATAACTCGAGAAGCAGTGGATGGATTGGAATGAAACTTGGTAGGTGGGTAGGTCTTCATGAGACCTAGAAATGATTAGATTTTGGGCCCCCTGGCGGCTTTCCTACGCACTGCAGCTGAACTTCCGGTTTTGATATCTCATGTTCTGGACATGCTAGGGTCACGAATTTTGGTTGGTAGATAGCTCTTGGGGTAGGGAAGAAGTGACATGAGTTTAGGTCCCCTAGCGCCTTGTTCTGGAACTGCAGGAGCATTTGTTGAAAAAATTTGAAGGACGATAACTCAAGAACCGGTTGACGTATTGTCGTGATTTTTGGTATGTACGTAGTTGAAGTGATGCTTGACATAATCAGATGGCAATTATGCAAATCAGGAGCTAATTTGCATAATTAATGAGGAAATTCTATAAATCTGCTTTGTTCGCTAATAGAACTATAAAACACTTGTGACATCTACTTGAGAACGAGAAAAACATCTGAGGACATAGATTATGTAAATTAGGACCTAATTTGCATAATTAATGCCAAATTTTTATAATTCCATAGTTGTAACTGCTGCACCCCGAATTTCATACTTGCCGCATTTGGAACTTAAGTGAAGGTGAACATCAATAAACATAATTTATTCAAATCATGACCTCATTTGCATAATTTATGAGGAAGTGCTATAATAGCCTTTTTGTTATGACAAGGCTGTCATTGGATGGAGAATATGATCAGCTGATGTAATCCATGCAAATGAGGCTCTTATGTACAAAATCAATGATTAAAATTGTATAATTCGTCACCCGCAAGGGTTAACATCATTTGGCGAAGGTATGAGATCGTGGAACTCTTGTTTTTAGTTGTTGTCATTTTGCAGTTCCAGTCTACGTACAGTGCAAATTCTTTTCCTCATTCTCACTAAGAAATGTCCATTTTCAGGACCACACAATCATCTTCAATTTTCCACCCGAAACATTAGATATGCATCAAGTAATACCTTTCTTTCATGATGAAAGAGTATAATTAATTAAAAGATAGAAAGTACATGGAAATTAATTGCATGACGCTGCTAGCACGCAAACATTCTCATGGAATAAATAATTTTATGTCAAGATGGAAATAGTTCAAAATTCCTCATGCAAGTCCTACAGTAATACTGTGGACGTTTGAAAAAGTTCATGATAATGCATCTGTTTCAGTCATTATTTATAACGTGTGAGAGAGTGCAGGGTACTGGGATAACGTGTTAACGGATATATATTGCTAAGGTGGAAAATTGTTGAGAAGATATCAAAGAACACATACACAAGAAAAATTTTTAATTTTGACAGACTTATGGAGCAACCAATGCAATTTTAGGCCAGCAGAACAAAATATATTCTGGATGAAAAAATCTGTCTCACAAGTGTCATTTACTGCCATTTCTTAGCACATACCTGAAGATTTGAAATATATAATAGTCCCAAACAATCTAAATTGGACAGTTTAGTTGCCCCGACGGCAGGACAGACTGCTATGGGACCGGTGAGGTGAGGTGAATCTAAATTAGAGCTCACACGGGACCAGCACTGCGTCAGGAACACCACTAAGAAAATGTCCCAATCCCTCGGCTTCATCAGGAAATGTGCAAAATACCTTGATGAGTCAACACTAAGGGTAGTGATTGAAGCCCTCACCTTATCTCATCTGGATTATTGCACTCCAGTGTGGTCAGATACAACACAAAAGAACATTGACACATTACAAAAGATGCAGAACAAAGCCAGACGTCTGGCTCTCGGCAAACCTGTGTGGGAAACTGTGGAAACAAGACTACAACTAAACACACTGTGTACATTTCAGAGGTTTCTTTCTACTAAGGAACCCAGTTCTTTGTACCGCAACCTTTCCTTTGTCTCAAACCACCATAGTCACAGAACTCGTTATGCTACTAGATTAACTTTAGCTCTGGAAAAACCAAAAACGAATGCAAAAAAAAAGCTTCAGATACAGAAGTATTTCCACATGGAATAACTTACCATCAGACCTGCAGCACTTAAAAACAAAGGACAGTTTTAAATCAGGACTGGTTAAGTACTTCCACGCAAGGTAGACGAAATCATTATAACTCAAGTTAAAGCATATTAATGTAAATAAGTTATAATTCTTTTATTGAATCTGTCAAGTTGAATGTCATTTTAATGATTGTAAAGCGTTAAGCATGTGTAGGATAAAAATTGTGTAAAAGTCTAGTGGCGTAGATTCTAAATGTCATTTTATATGATTGTGAAGTCTGTGACTCTGTATTGTTTTGTTCTTGGAATCCAGGAAGATTAGTCGCACAAAAAACTAATGGATATCCTAATAAAGTACCAAGTATCAAGTATCAAGAGAGATTATTTTTGGAAACGCAGTAACTTCTTTCTGTCAGGGACATCACATTTTTGCCTCATCACTGTCGCTATAGATTAGAGGTTTGATTTATCTTACTGTATTGAACCAGGAGAATTAACTTTCTGCTAAGAAATGTCAGTAAATGTCAATGTCAGACAGATGTTCTAACTCCGAGGAACACACTAAGATATCTTAATCCTGTAAGATCACTAGCCCAGCAATCAAGGTCATGAATGACAATACTGAAAAATAGAAACAAATCTAATAGTTTACAATAAAGGCAATGTCAATTCTACATCATCAACACGACACATAACCCAGCAAGTTTACATTAACCTGTGCTCGATTTAGCAAGAAAATATGATACACTTATATATGATTACTAGACACGATAAACATATCTGCTTGGAGCCCTGCTTACCTACGCAGTTAAGACCTTGGTTTTAAGTCAAACATTTTGATAATTCGATGAAGAAACAAAATTAATTGACGAAAAACAGATTGCATAGATTCACGACAAACAGATTAAAGGGGAACGCATGCCCTTTTTCACGTAATCGGCCGTTTTAATTCTACGTAGAGCGTAGTCGTAGACGGATCTTGAATTCAGCGTAATACGTAGCCGGCTCTCAAAAACTAGCGTAGAACATTGTACGTCGGGATCCCCCATACAAGACCTCATTAAAGCAATAGGATTCTGGGTAGGATACTGCAGGTTAAAGGTAACTCGATGAGTCTTATGACCTGTTAACCATTAACTACCAAACCTTCAAAGTGTCATGACACATCAAGACACAAAAATATCTTTCCAGAATGCCTGGCCACTTGACTAGGATTCGAACTCGTGACTCCCTATTCCAGGACTTGCCGTTTCTATCAACTTGATCAACCCACCACTTGCACCTAAAGTAATTCACCAACGGGATTCGAACCCTTGACTGTGTGGTCCGGGAGTAACAGCATTGCTAACAGATACTAAATACCACAAATCTTACCATGGGGAACGAAGTAGCAAAACCGACGGAAGAAGAGACAGATCTACAGACCGAGGAGCTCCTTACGTGTGGGATCTGTCTTGAAGACTTCAAGACGCCGAAGTTGTTACCTTGCGGGCACACCTTCTGCCAGGCGTGTCTGGAGCGGTACGTGCGGGGGGCACCGGACATGACATGCCCCGTCTGTCGGCGGCAGGTGGCCATCCCGCCCGAGGGAGTCGGCGCCCTGCCCGGTAACTTCTGGGTCGGGAACGTACGGGAGTTGTTGAAGGGACAGAGGCGGGAGCGTAAGGCGAATGTACGGGAGACCAGGCGGTTGTGTGCGGCACACAGTGATGCCGAGTTCCGATGCTTCTGTAAGGACTGTAGGTAAGTACTTTATGAATAAGTATGATATTGATCGACATACAATGTATTAATTGGCAACAAGGTAACAAGATAGCAAATGCATAGTGTTAACCGATTAATACTCGTGCTGTCCAGTCGAAAGTCTACTTGCACGCGTGGTTTCACCTGGGTTTAACAAACAAACTTCCGTGCCAGGTGTGCATTCCACTGCCACCGATAGTACCCTGTAACCGGGCAGCGTACTTGTTATGAGTTTGTCATGTAATGTTACAGAATGTGTCTCTTGACGTTGAATACTACAAAGATTGGCAACTGCTATTGGCAGCCACATGGTGAAAAGTGAAACGAGACTGACAATGAAGACATACATTGCCATGGTGACGGTGGTTGCTGTTAGGGTTATTGTTTGCATTGCACTGTTATGATTTCATGATTTTGGGGAAGCCTCGTTGTGGTCTGACATGAGTTTGTTAAAAATAATATTTGAAGTCGCAAGTCTCTGGGAAAAGCTGCCCTACTTTCTGTGGCCCCGGGGCTCGTTCACTATACACTCAGGGGAGGATAGGAATGATCTCCTAAACTGCACTGTATCTGTCTAGACTTAACAGGTAACAAGGTATACATAATTATATACTTTCCGACGAGGTCACAAAGGTAAAGATTTCTTTCCTATTGAAAACATTTCTTTTTTCGATTGGCAACAATAACAAAACATGGTAAAACACTAGGTACGTTGTTTATGAAACAGCATTGCAGGCTGAATGCACCAGTAGACTCGCCGCCATACTGTATGACCGACCGTCAACATTGCAGGCTAAAACTGATCTCCAAGCAGATCATACGGTGGCAAGGTGAATGTCTTTTAGTGTCCACCCAGGTATAGCTAATGGACACTCTTCTAGCCAATGGGTACTGCCTTGCCACCGTGTGATCTGCTTGGAGATGACCTAAAACAGCTAGAATTGTGTTGCAATTTACATAATGTACCGTGCATGTAACTGGTGTTTATTTAAGTTTTTTTGCCGTCCTCAAAACACTATAAACACAACACACAATGGATATTCACGGAACTATAACTTCTTTCTTTATTCTTTATTTCAGGCATAACTCGCCCATATAAAACATACAGATAAAAAAACACAATGACAGCAATAAAAAAATGTCTATATTATACTACAGTCGGGCCCAGATATTGCGGAAGAATATTACATCAGATTTGAGAATTGATTGGACAATGTTATTTGATGACTTGTACAGACGGGATATGAAATAATAACATTGTTTGCGCCATAACGTTATCAGTTGACTTCTTTTCGCCCCAACTGTACACCAGCCAGTCCGTGTGCGCTGAGTGCATCGTGGAGTCCCATCGAGACCACGACGTGTCGTCCCTGCGCGAGGTGACGGAGGAAAAGTGCGAGGAGGCCGGCGAGCTACAGAGACGCGCCCGGCGGAGGGTCGAGCAGGTCGTCGGGAAACTGCAGAGCTTCGACGAGTCCCGGATCGACTGCGAGAAGAAGGAAGAGACTTTGGAGAAAAAGATCGTAGCCGCTAAAGAGGAGGTCTGTACTTATCAGTTTATGTAACTAATTATGAGTAACTATTATATGCAGAACCATGCTTAGTTATATATAGCTAGCCCAAGTCTAACCCATCTAACCATCCACCAGTCCCAAAGCTAGTCCCATACCTATTATATAATCTATATAAAATGGGTTAGGGTTAGTATCAAGCACGGTTCTGGATAGTCTCTGTGTCATCTTAAAAAGGTTCAAAACAAGCAGATTTTACCTGTAGTGTTAGGAAAATAGGAAGTACCGTAGGTAGGACTATACGGGTTTATGGTTACCCCTGTATTCTTGTGAACCGTTGAACCTTAACTATTGATTGTTTTAGTCACAGACACGGTTCCTGATAGTCTCCGTGTATCCAATGACGTAGGTTTGCCTAGGACACGATTCTGGATACGAATGAACTATCCAGAACCGTGCCAGCGCATGTCTTTGGGTGAAAGGTAAAGCACGGTCCTGCATACAATAGTAACACATCACTTGATAAAGGTTGTTTTTAACATCTTTAGAGACGATGTCCCCGCTAGTAATGACCTGCATTACTACAATGATAACGTAAATTTAACATACGAAGATCATGAAAAGGCACTCAAGTAAATAACCAAAGCTTGTTTATTTTTTTAAAGGTCATCAAAAGAGCAGAACAAAGTGCGGCTTCCCTTATCAGCCAAGCCAGAACTATTTACAAAAAGAGAGTCGGACAATTGGACGAAGGGGCTCAGACTTTGGAATCTTACCTCGCCGCCATGTTGAAAGGACTGGATGACCTTGGCGGCGCGGTCAAGGACGGGGACGTTCCAGAGCTGGATGTAAAGATGCAGGCGTTGTCAGAAGTGCTGGAACGTGGGGTAGACACGACTACACAGGTGCCGGTATGTCCGCAAGTCGAGTTCGTCGCCCAAAAGTTAGCGGTGCATCTTGGGACGGTGCAGGTCAAAGATCAAGAAGATGGCGCTAAAGGTGAAGCGATCGGTGAGGTCGACCGTCGTCTGAAGGTGAAGCCGGCGTTACCTCCTAAGAAAATTGCTCCAAGAAAATATGGAAGCAAGGGTCAGTTCGAATGTCCCATTCGGGCCACCGTAGCAAACGACAAGGTGTACATCCTGGACAAGGCGCTAGGGGGCAGGGTCCAGGCGTTCGGTCTCCAAGATGGCGACGTTGTGTCGAGTTTTGTGCTCGGCTTTAGTAGCGGGCTCAGCCTTCGGAGTGGAGGCTTATTGGTGGAACCGAGTGGTGACGTGTACGTGCCGTGTAGCGTGTCGGGTGCAAAACGCGCCAACGTCTTGTGGTCGCACTCTAAGAAACCAACAAAAGTCGTCCTTAACATAGGCTCGGAAGACGACCCCATATCCGACGCAGCTTTCTCGCCTGAAGGAAGAATTGTCTTAGCCCTTAAGGGAAAGATCTGTACAATCGACAAGACCGGATTAGAACTCTCAGAATTCTCCATCCATTCTCCAAGCGTTACCAACATCTGCGTTTACAAAAGCGCCATCTTGTTGTCTCTGTTCGCCGAGAAGAAAGTCCAAGTGTACAAACCGTCGGGAGAACTCAGACACGAGTTTGGTTCGGACGCGCACTTCAGCGCCCCCTGTGGACTTGCCGTGGACCTGCAGGGCAAGGTGCTGGTGACTGACGGACCGAATGGACGGGTGAGCGTCTTTGACGGGCGTAAGGACGGGGCCTTTCTCCGGCACATCGCTGGGAGAGAGGACGGGCTGGGGTACCCGCGGGACGTGGCGTGTACACAGGACGGCCGCGCTGTGGTGGTGGACTCACAACACAACTGTGTTTTCATTCTCAATTACTAGAGACTATAAAATGCATATAGAAGCTATCATGAAAGTTCATCTGTGTTGGTAGTTACATGTTTGAAGTTAAAACTTTTGATCCAACACAAAAATTCTCTCACCTAGAGCTTTCTTGAGAGGGATGAAGGAAGTCATATACATCAGGGCCCATCACCCTACATTGAACCACAACGGGGTCTACATCATCTATCAGATACCTTTGAACCCAGTGTTGACGTCACACTTCAAAGAAGCCACGTGACAAGCTTCACTGGGTCATTCTACTGATCTACTGAGGAAGACCAGAGTGACTGGTCGACAGCTCTAGGTGAGAGAATTTTTGTGTTGGATCAAAAGTTTTAACTTTAAACGCATATAGAAGCTATTCATTTGATGTGACTTTCCCCAGTGGGTACGAGTATGTATGTACAATAAAGGTATTCATTCATTAATTCTTTCATTATGTTGTACCTCCAAGATGGATAGCATGGTTAGCAAGTCAGCCATACAACAATACATGTATTCCGAGATTATATACCCAGATCCTATGTGTCGTTATCTTATGACGTAACTTAGCGATGTTTACCTTAAGTTTTTCAGGCTAATTTAAGAACAAAATAACTGTCAATATTCATCATGTTTTCTGAATATGAAGACTGACTTGCTAGCTAAAAGCTAGCAATTTGCTCGTTGCCAATTATTTATTCTTAGGCCACACCAAGTAAATTGTATGGATAACGTCCTTTGGAGACCCTAAATCTAGGGCACTAAAAACAAGATGCCTAGATTAGAAATATACCAAGAGACGACAAATGTTAGGACACAAATTGAATGAGGTGACACAGTGTAACAAGCAAGAAGTCTTTTATTCATCATCAAAACAGCAATAAATCAGGTGGAACAGCAGTTGTCGTCCTGTGCTTTGGTGAGACAGATGGAGCGGTCAGCAAGTTTCTTCAAATGTGGCAGCATGTACCAAACTGAATTCCTAAAGGAAGTCATGATTTCCTTGCTTGATGCTTCATAAGCTTTGGTCCGTACAAACCTATTTGCCGCACTGTCGTGACTCCTTGGTCATAGTTACAGGAAGCGGAATTTCTTGGGTTTTTTTTTCTAGGAACAGGCCAAAATCAATGCGCGCGCGGACGTCATCCATAAAATTTACTTGGTGTGGCATTATCATGCAATGATTGGAAAGGATGTCAACACCTTACTTTTTTCTATCATTCACCACTGTCCGAACAAGAAAGTCAAAATGTGCACATGTGTGTGAAGAACGTAATAAAGTTTGCAAGCGCAAGAGTTCTGTAGTTTTTTTTTCATGTATCTTTGAACCATATACTTTAATGTCGACGTCTGTGCCTAGTTTAATCTATTTACGTCAAAAATCAGTCTGTCACTACCAGACAAACAACATAACATTTGCAACACTTCAATAACAGCCAATCCATCAATAAAAGGGCAAAATGTCTTTTCTTCTGTAGAAAAATGGCTTTATTTGCCATTTTTGTGCAAACACGAAGAGAAGTATAATTACGAGTTTTAACGTTTGAAATCAGGTAGCTAAGAGAGAGAGAGAGAGAGAGATGTACATAATTAGATGCTAATTATGCAAATGAAGATGTAATTTACATAATTAAGGAGGAAATTCTATATTTACAGTGTTTTATATAACAGTACTTTTTAATTCAAATAATCTATTTAATCTATGGGAGGTGGAATATCAACAGATACCAATTATGCGAATCATTACTTAATTTGCATAATTAATGTGAAAATTCTGTAATTCCTGTTTGGTGAATGATGGGAATTTCATACCTTGTGACTTGTTTTATTCATGCATATGTTATGTTAATGTAGAATCATTTGCATAATCAATGAGGATATATATGTATTGAAAAAGGATAGAAATCTTACATGCAAAATATTGTAATTTAAATTTAGAAAACCATTAAATAAACTAGATTATGGTAATTACATGTATGTCCTTATTTCCGTAGTCAATGAGACAAATAAAAAACATTTAGAAAACCCTATATATTTCATGGAGGTATGAGATCTCCTATTCTAGCTTGTTAACGCTTGGCCACAACATCTGTTATGTAGTAGTACCGGTAGTATGTCTATCTGAATTGTAACTGACACTGTTAACTGTTAACTGTTCCGAATTGTTTATGTTATTGTTGTTAGGGCTAGCCCTTTATTATAGCCTCCGGCTAGTTGGGCAGTCCTGGCTGCATACATATGTGTTATCAGCCTAATAAATCAAATCAAATCAAATTAAATCTCCAAATGCTTGTTTGTATACACTGGCCTGTGTTTTCACAAGCTCTCGTCCGGGAGTTATCAACCCCCTCCGCAAAGGGGGGCGGAAACCTTTGGGCGGACGGCCGCCAGGAACGCGATTTAGTCAGGCTAGCTAGGGTACACATGTACATGGACGGCTGGGGACAGGTTCTGCATGACAAGCGCTTACCACACCACCCACACCTTCAGGCGGGTCGTTCCATACATATCAGCTGAACGTACTACAGTATTTTCTTGGGTAACTAGAATCTATTTACACGTTACACCGAGAACCAATATTTTTACATAAGAGGCTAAACGATTGTGCTGCATATTTATTTCACATACCCGCCGAATATTCGACATGACAGCCACGTGACAGGGTGGTTTGTTTGGTGACCCCGAAGCTAAGTCAATACAAACCTGCTAGGTAACTTTTTGGGGTAGGGGGCGGGGTGGATCTAGATTTTATCTTTCAAAAGTGTTTCTACACACCGGAAGACGCTAACCCTCTCTCCTTTTGATCAAGGTAGGACATACACGTGTGTATAAGATGTTTTTTTTTTTCATTCATAAACCAGTTGGTTTTCACATCCAACGTTTCGGTGACCGTCCGTCACCTTGTTCAGGGCAACAATCGGACTGGTTTTGATTCGTACTGCCGGTTGTTGAATCAAGAACCTTCTTATACAGTCTCTTGATAATCTGGTGAAATTATTCCCGAGAGAGAGAGAGAGTGTGTGTACGTGTTTGTATGTATGTATATATGTGTGTGTGTGTGTGTGTGTGTGTGTGTGTGTGTGTGTGTGTGTGTGTGTATGTATGTATGTGTGTGTGTGTGTGTGTGTGTGTGTGTCTGTGTGTGTCTGTGTATGTTACTATATATTGTTTATTGTTTCCATATGTGCTTTTCTTGATTTGTCACAACGATATTCAATTTGTTTACCATACCAATGTACACAGCTTTCACATAACTATGTATAGCTATGTATAATGATGATTGATGTGCACAAAGAATACATAATATAATACAATACAATACAATACAATATAACACAAAAAAACCGAGCTCCCGGGCCGGTGGAGTCATGATAAAACTGACTTTTTGTAAAGTCTGAATGCAGAATGTGAGGAATGTTTCAGCCGTTAAGTTCTGGCCTCGGGGAGGGTGGACGGTCTGTCTGTCACTGTGGATCTTTGCAGGGGTACATACTCTCCAGGCAAAGGTGGCCGCGGAGCCTTTCTGGCCAATGGATACTGTCTGGCCAATTTGATACTGTCTTTTTGCCACCGAAAGGGATCTGCTTGGAGATTAGGGGTACAGGGTCATGAAGTAAATGTTTTGGATTCAGCATGACCTTAGCTAGAAGAGTTTTACTTCGGCAGCTTCTCTTCTTTCATTCAAAGTAGTAAGGTTAGGAACTGTTCATCTGACATGACACAAGATGATACTATGGGCAGGTCTTTGCACGTGTTCCATACTGCTATACCTACGCGTTCCATACTGCTCCTTGCCCACCAGCAAAATGTGTCTTTCATCATCATAGCTTGTCGCTATTTCTCTCAGCAAAAGTCCGAGCAGCTTCACTGGCCTCCTGGAGGTCTGAGTCTGTGCAGGTCGGCGAGAGTCTGCAGTTTCTCATCAGGTGTTGTAGGGTTTGGGGGTCCTCGCCACAGCTGCAGGCTGCACTGTTTGACTTCCCCCACCGTAGCAGGTTGTCAGCTGTCCTTGCAACCTTCGCCCTTGCCCGGTTCAGGGCGACCCAAGACCTTCTAGGCATGTCAGCCCCTGGAGGCAGGGACTCGCTGGGGGGTGGGAGTGCCCTGTTGTTGAGGGGGGATGAGTGACAGGTAGAACTGAACAAGGCCAGCAGCGCATTTAGGTAGGTAGTAGTCCGGTCGTGGAGCCTGCTCGAGGCTTTTGATGACCTTTTGATACGACGGATTTTACATGGTCTTGCCAAGATAGTCTACAGTCGAGGATGAACCCAAGGCCCTTTGCAACATATGTGAATGGTACAGGTTCAGTGTGATGGTAATGGCGGTTGTTCCTATTGAAGCAGTGAAGCAGATCAGTAGAAACATCAGCGACTGTTTTTTTTTCCTTCTGTTCAGCAACAAAACATATGTCGTTGCGCTTAGCAAGAACCAAGCTGTGATGCTTCTTCTGTCATAGGGTGGTCTGCGTCCAGGGAGATTAATATGGACACACCTACGTCTTCGAGGGTATAACTATAGACTGTTTCACGTAAAAACAAACTTAGAGGAGGATAAAATAGGCTTTCTCTGTACACCTGATGTTAGAAGCTGTTCATACGTTGTAAGAGAATTGAATGGTTCACTCTATCAAACGCCATGTGTATGTGTGTGTGTGTGTGTGTGTGTGTGTATCTCTGTGTGTGTATCTCTCTGTGTGTGTATGTATGTGTGTGTGTGTGTGTGCGTGTGCGAGTGAGTGTGTGTGTGTGTGTGTGTGTGTGTGTGTGTGCAATTATGCAAATTATGACCTGATTTGCATAATTAATGTGGAAATTCAGTGAGTCCTTATTGGTGAATGATGGGAATTTTATACCTCGTGACATGTATAAGTTACTTGAAGGTTAACGCCACTATGTATATATTATGTTAATGTGGAGGTAATTTGCATAATTAATGAGGACATGTTGACATGAAGTATGACAAAGCAAGCCCATATTTCATGGAGGTATGAGATCTCGGAACTCTAGTTATGCCTGTGTGCCTATCTTATATACACAATGCAATCACATACATTCTAATGTCTCCATTACATCTGTTTGAAAAAGGGGGTGGGTGAAGTCTGCCATGTTTGATGATCTTACCATGTTTCTATCTGTTACAGATCAGAGGCGATGTGGCGAAGCGACGTCGCTGTGGTCCTGTTGTTTCTAATTTCTGCCATAGCTTTTTCGAACAGATACTTCTTCGATAGTACCATCACTACAAGTAAGGCTTTCTCTTAGCCTCCTGTGCAGACTTTTAGGCTGTATCCGCCTTAAGAGTAAGCTGTAGAAACAAACCCTGGTTGCCATGAGAAAGATTGCATAGGAAGATAGCTTTCTATTGTGCTTTTACAAATCACGGGGTTATAGGGGTATGTTTAGAAACACGTAATTAAACTGAACATATGTTTGGTGCAGAAAATGGCAAAACTGGAAGCCAGATTTATGTCAAGTGCATACAAAAGCGGCTTTTCGGCTCAAGGATGTAGGGTCGTGTGGCGTAGCGGCAGAGTGCTCGACCCGGAACCAAGAGGTCCCGGG